GATGATTCCCCCAGCTGGGTCGTGCTGTCCTTCACCCAGGGTGAGCACACCGGGAACCTTCCCGGCTCCTGCGCTGCTGAACCGAGGAGGAAACTCCCATTAGAGGCTTTGCTGCGGTTACACCTTCTGTTATTCCTGGCCGCTGCGGTTGTTTTTTTCAAAACAAGGCAGTGTTTTCTATCCTTTAGGCCTGAGCAGACCAATTCATCTCTCTTTAGATGGGTTTGATGTGGCTTGGGAAACTCAACCGGTTGTTTCCCCAGCCCAGCATAACTCGGTTATGCTTCCTGTGGCTCAGCCACGGGTCCCCCAGCTTGGCAGCCACTGGGGATGTGCAGACAGCTACCCTTTAGTCTTCTCCAAAATTGGGAATCAGCTCTTGCCCAGGCAGGTGTCAGCCACCTTCTCACTTCACTGGTTGGACTAAACTTTCCATAGTTTTCTGACTAGAAACGAGTTCCACCCACAACAAACACGGTCAGCGACTGCAGCGGTCACCACTAGCCCAGAGCTCACTGCTTGGCTTGTTTGTGTCAGTAACCACCAAATTCACAGGTCTTGACCCCAGCCTGAGGCAGACCCTGCTGAGGGACGGGGGCTCAGCAGGGGATGCTCACCATGCAGATCTCCTTGGGATGGCACCCTAACACAGGCCTTGAAAGCTTAAAATGCCACAGGAGAAAGGAAACAAGAGTTATGAGCTTTGTTGCAATCCACCAGGACTTCTGGAGATAAGGGAGGGGCAGGAGGGCAGCAGAAACTGGTAGGACAGGGTGAACTCAGAGAAGGTTTGGGGTTTGCACCCATCAGTGGGCTCTGGGAAAGGTGGTGGGAGTTACCACCCAGGGCCTCAGCTTTCCTGCTAAAGAAGCAGCAAATTGACACAGCACTGGAGTTTTAGCAGGGGGCTCAAATCTATTGAGGGACTTTGAAAAGAGTGTCAGCTGATAAATGGGCAGGGGAGACTTTTTTACGCATCAAATAGTTGCTTTGTGCTTTCAAAGTGAAGCTTCTATTGCTTTTTTTTCCCTATAAAATCTCATATATTCAAGAAAATCATTGATAGGGTGAATTAAATGTCTTTGGTAAACCCAAATCACTCCACTCAGTACTTTGTCTTCCTTAAAAAAAAAAAAAAAAAAGAAAGAAAGAAAGAAAGAAAAGTTTTGGTTTGACCTGATTTTTCCTCCCCAATTTTTCAGCTCACACTGTTGGAAATAACAGACTCTACATGGGTTACATCATTTGAGAGGAATCTCCTCTCATCCGTCTCCAAATGAATAACAACAAACATTCAAAAAATAATTGAAGTTTTATATATATCCCTTGGCCATTCAGGTGGTATGGCTGGCACGAGACATAGGCACTTTAAACAGCTGTTGTGAATCTGAAGCATAAACTTCCACCCTTTGGCACACCACCAGGAAATTATGCATAGGAATATACCTGCTTTCCCTTGCAGCAGACACAAACCACGATGTCTAACGCCCTGAGAGTGGACAGCAGAGAAAAGCTGTTTTGCTGGGGGACACCCCACGTTTTGTGTGTGTTCCTTTCTGCTCTGGTGGACAAGCAGCAGCGAGTGGGGCTCTGGGCTGTTTCAGGGGGCATCAACAGCTCCTCTTCCTCCTGCACCAGCAGATACTTGCCCTGTACAGTAATCCAGTGCCCTAGAAAAGAACAACCACACTTTTTCACAGATTCCAGCCTTATTTTTCAAAGGTAGGCATGGTAACACAGCAGGCTGTCGGAGCCAAAGTCACACATGTTTTCTGTCTCACCTAGAGATGACTCCCATTGCTCAGTCAGATCTTCCTCGGTGGACAAACTCTCCTAGACAAGACAAAGACCATCTTCTCCAGCTGGAGTCCAAAATCCTGGCTGAAATCTTATTCCACTGCTTTTGTGTGCAGAGACACCAAATTGCTCAGAGAATCAAGGAAAGCTGATGGATATCCATGGGGCAGAACACCACCCCCAGGGCTACACCAGTGCCAGTCAAGCCTTGCTCCAAGGCTGGTGTAGGCTGAGTGTTTGCTTAAACCAGACCCAGCTTCCACCCTGCCGTGTTTCCAGGAGCCCAGGTAAACAGGCTGCTGCAAGGACAGGGGAGATCAGAGAGGGCACATCAGGCTCCATCAGGGCACACCAGATGCAGCAACCACCCGGCCTCACAGCACAGAGCCTGCAGGGGCACCTGCATTTGCATCAACAAGGCAGAGGCTGAACAAAACAGCTCAGCTGTCAAGCTGGAAAGACCACACCAGCCTGGGGAATCCAGCTGCAGGGATGGCAGCTTGGTCAACTGTTGCCACCTTCTCGCAGCTCTGTGGTCCAAAGCAGGCTGGCAGGGAGCTGGCAGACACCTTGCACAGGGCCCAGGACACTCCTTGTCTTGGTAAGCCCCAGGCAGGGGACATCAGCATCACGGTGAAGGGTTTGCCCTGCTTGGACCGGACACTGAGCCCAGCTGAGCTTTGGCCACTGACCCTTCAGCATCACAGGGACAGCACGAGAGACCCACCACTCTGACCAAACAGCAGCCTGGTTTGGGAAACACGCTCAGAAAACTCTCTTGGACCCCCAGTTTCCCTCCCGGGGGACACACACATTTGAGGGTGCCCTGCACCCACCTTCATGACAAAGCCAGTCACAGCACTATCAGAACAAGCCTCTATCTGATCTCAGCTATTGTGATGTTGTGACAAATCCAGCAGTATTTCTGAGACAGTAGCCACAATATGCTTTTATTAAACCTAAATAATTAGTGTACCTGTTAAAGTGTGCTCACTCAGAGCTCCACACACATTAACGACATCAGTTCCTTCAAGCAATCATCTGGTGTTACGCCCCTTGGTCTTGAGGTTATTTTCACAATAGTAATTAAATCCTTAATAACAACTTTCGGTTATAAAGTAAATCAAATTGAATAGCCTACATGGGAAATGTCAGCTCATATTCAGGGAGACTGGAGACCTTCTGAAAAGGAAAAAAAATGGGTTAGACACCACAGACAAGCTCCTCTAGTCTGGAGGTCAGCAGAGGGACCTGTCCAGTGCTCTGCTGACAACCACTTACAACCCCTGGCCTAAGCACTGAGCAACCCCAGGGGCAGGAACACCATGTGCCTGGTGGCCACAGGCAAAGGGCTGTCCATTGCTGGGCTTGATTTCCCATTTCTGTTCATTTCCTGAACACCTTCTCCCCAGAGCACCCTTTTGTCCCACGTGAAGGTGCTCTCAGGGGAACCTGATGTGAATTCTTCTCATCTTTGCCCTGCTTCTGTTGTTAATAAAGCCTGAGAGTGGATGTTCAACACAAATACCCAACGCGCACCATTCTCAGCCAACAAACCCCTCCGACAGCACCTAATCCAGGTGAGCATCACATCTCCTCACCACACTGCCTTTCACAGCCTGAGGAACCTGTCTCACTGCTGGCCAGGAAATGTTCTCATCAACCAGTGACACAAGTGCCAGAGTCCCGAGCTAGGAATTGTGTGCCCCTCAATCCCACGTGCCAACCTCCAAACCCAGCGGGCACTGTGCGATGGCAGCAGATCCTCCCTGGCTGCTCTCAGAGGATCTCAGAGGAGATCCCTTCTGCCCAGACTTCTCCAGCATGTACTGCCTCCACCCCTTCAAATTTCCCTGATAGCAAACCAGCCCTGTCTCTCTGACAGGGAAACCATCAGCACCGTGGTGGATAAAAAAAGCACCCATAAATCCGTTCTCGCTCTGGAAATCATCTGAGTTTCTCCTCTTGGAGGTACTAACACAGCAAATCTACAGCGGTGCCCAGTCCTCCACCCCAGCACTCCTCTGAACTCTCCCCAAATCTTTCCCACATGAATCAATCTGAAGACAAAGCTGGCAAAGCCTTCCAGCCCCCACCAACCAATTGCACCACCACGCCACGAGGTCCCACTTCTGTGCTCGTCTCCAGGAGCACCAGCAGAGCTGCTCCCAGCACATCCACCGGCACAGGGGCTGCTCGAGTGACCTCCTGTGCTTAGCTGGGGTGAGGGTGTCACCTGTACAGCTGCCCAGCTTCTCCTGGAGCAGCATGGAGCGACTCTGCTTAGCACTGTTCATTTTATTCCAGGCTCGAGAGGTTTGGAGATTGGTGCAGATAAGGATCCTCGAGCTTGCACGTTTATCTGCACCATCTCCCAAACAGCTTTGATCTGCAGGATTTGGCTGCAGCTCTCAAAGTTATCTTGAGAAAGCTTGTTCTGGGGAGAGTAATTCTTGTGATTAACAAGAAAAAGCTTTCTTAGTGGCTTTGAGCATTTCCAGCCCTGGCTGTAGCCAAGGAGTGCAGCGATGTCTGCACACAGAGAGAAGGGAAAAGCCAAGTGAGCTCCTCCTTAAAGCTTCACTTGGGTCCAGCTGCCATTTCAGCTAAAATCTGAGGTCTGTTATTTTGTTCCCCACTTTCTTTTATGGGTCCCTTTACATCACCCATATCCTCTGCAGGACTCCCAGGAGAAAAGCTGGCTGGACTGACCAGGGAAGCAAAGCCACTCGATGGGCTGGGAGAACCAGGGGGGAAGGATTTGTCCAGCTGAGGGCAAGTTTGAAAAGGCACAATATTGAATTCAACAGCTGAAACCAACAGCCCCTCTAAAACCTCTGGTGAAGGAAATGAGCCACACGTAAGTAAGTGTTAATGGAGTCAGATGCTCATTTTCCAGTTTACCTTCTGCTTGGCCAAACATTAGGAAATACTTGTTGGACTGAAAAGTGTCAGATGTAAGTCCTGCTCTTGAAACATGCCAGTGAGGATCCCACCATGCTCAGCCCACCTTCACCCCACGCAAGACCTCTTCCTTGTGGGAACAACCAGGGAGGAAGTACAGAATTAGCAACGAAGTTTATAGTGGGGAAACTAACCCTGAACATATCCTGCTGCCCTCACATGAAAGATAAACACACATTAAAAAAACCACTGCACAGGGAAGGGGAAAGAAGTGTGAACAGCAAAAGTATGTACATGTGTTTTAAATAATTCTTTTTAATTGTTGAGGCAGTAATACTTGGTTCATGGAACTGCAATATACAGAGAGGTGAAATAAATAGCTTATATATATATAATATATATAATATAGCTGGTTTTAAAATATTCCCTTATCATTGGTGTACTAGGTCATCTTGTAGTCACTTGAATGTATTTAGCAGCATTCTCCAGAACTGAGCACAATGCAGGATCACGGAGCCGTGACACCTTATGTCGTCAGGAAGGTTACAGAAGATCCATGCGTCGAGAACTCCACAGAAACTCACTCACTGCAGCACACACCGTCTTGTCTCGGGCCAGTGGGCAGCAGACAATAAATAGATTACTGCAAAACCGGCACTTTTCGGGGCAGGGTCTCAGTAACTTTGGGAAAGAACTTTGGTTTTCTTTGGTTTTATTTATTTATTTTTAATAATTACTTTTTTTTTTTTTTTTTTTTTCCCTCTGGGGATATGCTTGAAAAGTTGTCCTTTCCAAAAAAGCGAAATAAGCACCTGTGTGTCATCAACAACAAGAAGTCAATTTAAATAGAGCAGTTCATTTCGTTTTTCAAGTCACAATAAATCCCGAACAGCTTTCCCCAGCATTTGCCATCTAGTCTTTTATTAATTTTTTTTATTTTTATTTTTTTTTTAAACACAATGTACAAAAATAGAGCTTCTTCCTTATTTTTAATGTAAAAATATTCCTCTGGTGCAGTTTTTTTTTTTTTTTTTTTGTGGTTTCTTACTGTGACACTATTTTTGTCTATTTTTAACTGGGGTTGGTGGGTCGTATTCTCTTAGTCCTCTTGGTGACTGTTGTGTACTTGAAAGGTTTCTGTATCTCCACTTGCCCCTTTGGGTACCTCTTCATAAAATGTACATCTTGCTGGTTTTCCCGGGTCTTGGGCCCTTTCCGTGGCCTCCCTTTTTTGGTGAATCCAACGTACCAGCCTGAATATTTTGCAGACATCAGCGCCGTGTAGTTGTTTTCTAGGACTTTTTCAATGAAAACACACTCCTTACTGGTGCCATCAGGCTGGAAAAGGAAAAAAAAAAAAAAGAGAGAGAAAAAATTAATTATCCAAATGCAAGCTCAGTGACCAAAACCCAATTTGGCATAAAAAGAAAATCATCACATCTGGACCTCTATTTTTGGTTCAAACATTGTTAATAGGAGCTGTAACAAGGATCAGCTGAAATAGAAATGATTTTTTTTTTTTGAAGCGTGAAAGCATGAGGTCATCATTTCTTTTGTTTTAAACGCTCTTATCCAAGGAGAGAAAGAGTTTTCAAAGGCAACAGTTAAGTTTATCCGGTCCAGCTCCTTCACCTGCAAGGAAAACAAGACACGTAGCTTTGCTTTTTCTCATTAGGGAAAGAGGATGAATTGAACTCATGCCACGGAAACATCACAATCAGCAAAAAACAAACCCCAGAACGTCCTATGGCCCAAACAACAGCATTTCCCTTTCTACCACACTTACTTCTGATATGTTTTCAGAAATACCTCATGGGCTTGCACCCATAACTACCCAAATCCCGCTAAAATCATTACAAGCCTTAGTCTAAGCCTTCACAGCACTTTGAAAACTCTCCCACCACATCCCAGGGTGACACCAGGCAGATGGACCACCCATGGTGCTCCAGGGCTGAGCCACAGGGGTGCCAGAGGCACTGAAGTCCCCGACCCCACTGCAGCTCCTGGGACCCTGGACAGCCCTGAAGTCAGTGGTTATTCTGGAGATGCTTTGCACACCCAAAGCTTAGGTCTGACTCACAACCCAGAGTGACACCAGCAGGGGAAGGGGCTGTTCCCACACGGGAATGGTTCCCAGATGAGATGACATCCCACTGGCATCCTAATGTGACTGGAGGACTGCACGGCAAGAGCAATCTCAGCCACCAGCCCAGCCCAGCTCCACTGCCAGAGAGTGGCACACGTACCTGACTCATACCCCTCGTGTCACAGGGTAGGTTTCTGCTTGGTTTCATTTCTTGCTGCACAGGGGACACAATCCCTCCTCTTTCCCAACATTTCAGAGGGAAGCTGCCACCCAAAGCTCCAGGGGCTGGCTTAGGGAAGCCACGTCCCTAAAGCACTTTGCTCCTCACAGAGGGAGACAGGGTGAGTACTGAGCACCTGAGCATCACTGCTGCTCCCCAGCCGCCCCACGTTGGGACTCCTTTACCCACCGAGCCACTCATTGGAGATTTTGGCAAACTGGGCTCGGCTCAGCTTGAAGATCAAGACTAACAGACCCAGAACTGGGCTCTGAATGCAGCAGGATGGATCTCTGCATTTGGAACTCTCACTTACACAGCATATGCAGCACTGGAGGGAACCACAGCATCACACAACAGCATCTTCAAGTCCTTCAGCACAGAGGAAATTCTTCTCACCCATAACCTTCTGTCAGAAAACATATTTTGCCCTTTAACTGCCGAGTTACTCGTGCTGCACCTAGAATTTCACATGTTGTCATGTGCACCAGCACTTTGATTTATACATGAGAAGACGTCAGGGAGTAGATACAGCGTAACTGTGACATGGAACATCAAACAGGACGTCATCCAGTGCTCAGCAAAGCCAAAGGAGGATTTCCATCATAATATTAGCCCTAGTCAGCTCCCCATTGGTCACAGAATAACAGAACATGCTGAGTTGGAAGGGACCCACAAGGATCATCGAGTCCAACTCCTGGCCCTGCCCGAGAGTATTGTCCAAATCAAGTGAGTTTTTCAGTACTGCAGGCATACATATAGCTACTACTCAACTCTCCCTACCTAAATAGTATCAGACCCTCTCAGTCTTCAGCCATTTCAGTTGTCCCACCCCTGGGGGACACGGAAAAGCCACAGCAGCGTGACCAGCTCAGCCCCTGAGCTGAGCCCTGCATCCCTTCCCCAAGGACAGGTCAGCCTGCTCTTCCAGAGAAGCCTTTGTAAAGAGTCCTAACAACCACAGTGGAGTTTGGTGCAGGTTGTGGGAAGGGCAGGGGACTGTGGGACAGGAGGGAAACCCTCCAGGCCATGCTGCTCAGGTTTCCCTGCACCCCTGATCCCCAAATAACTGTGTACAAGCTACAAACAGAGCTGCATGATGACCCAGGCTGGAGTCACACAGGCAGCAACAGAGGATGGCTGGTCATCAGCAGCCCCCAGGACAGGCATTGCTCCGTGACTTCATGCCTCTAGCAGAGCTTCAATTCCATCCATGCAACAATATGTGATGTTTGCCCTAAAAGTCAGTAATGCACATCCTGCCTAAAGGGTTTCATTTACCAGGGTAGGTTTCAAAGGAAATTCTGGCAACTTTTGCAACAAATATGCTAATCCAGGGCCTGTACAGGGGCTCTGCCACAGGAGCAGCAGTCTCCATCCCAGACAGGCACAAAGGTCCTCATTTTTCCATCCACAACTGGAAGCTCACAAACACTTTAATGAATGGCAGAACTGGGCAAAGCTCAGTGGTTCCAGTTCCGGGGGGGGGTCATTCTCTGAGTCCTGGGTTTGATCAAAGCCACATGAGTGGGAAAGGGGGAAATCAGTCGACACCACAGGGTTCCACAGGTTTCAATGGGAAGCCATAAAACCAGCCCCAGGTTTCTCAGGGCTCAGCCCACTACAAACCCTTCCCCAATGAGGGGAGAATTTTTAAACAATACCGTGGCTGAGACTCAAATCCACCCAAACCCAGGTGCTGGTGAACCGACCGGATCCGTGCCACAGGGGGAGCAGGTAATTGGAAGGGCTGTTCCCCCCATGCTCATGGAAAGGGACTGGACTGGAGCCCTGACCTTGTTGCTAGGAGAATTAAGGCTTTTTCATGCAATTTGGGAGGTTTCTGCTTTTTGCTGCAGTGTCAGTTTCTCATGGAAAATGAAGACTGGAATGAAAAGAAAACATATGTAGGAGGGGAAGCTTATTCTATTGATAACAAAAAAGTATTTACTTATACCTTCAAATTTGCCGACAGAGCCTAAGACGGAGACAGGAGGTGGAGGAATAACAAGGTGCAACTTCAGGCCAACCTCAGGGCTAATTTGAAGTAAACAAGGTGCATGAGATAAAATAACTTCGTTCTGGAAGAGGAAGAGCTAAATGATTTGATAACATGAAATTGCAGTAACATATACAAGCACCTTGAGATAAATCAGGATAAGGACCTCACTTCCCCAAACAGAGCATTCCTGTATGTGCTAAGACACGCCAGAGACAGACAAATGATTCTCAAACACTTAAAAGATAATTTTACAGCATCTTTTATAATCCCCAATAGAATAAATCGTTTGCACATGTTACCCACACCACGAAGAGCTGGACCCACAGCAATCTGTTAGGGGAAAAATCAATTTATAAGGGTTTTCAATACTTTTTAATCATCAGGTGCCCATCACTTAAAATTTAATCATGTTCCTATTTAAGCCATAGCAAATCACTCCTTGAGTCTGTCAGCCATCCCCTCACTCCTCCAAAGAGAAGGGGGTGGAAGAGAAAAGAGAGACAGTTTTGGCCAAGCATCACTCCCTGCTCCAGCCACGGGCTCACCCTTCCCCAGGAGCTCCCAGTGCAAACGATCCAGGGCTGCACCCTCCATCACCAACGTCAGCCAGGAGCTGCTGCCAAGATGCATTTCATACATATCGTGCTGGCAAGGACACACCTTGCAGAGCACTCACCCTTCAAAACACCGAGCTTTATGTTTTGAACTGATTCTTTACCATAGAGGAGTTCTCGAAAGCCTCAGAGTTGCACAGGAGCTGCCTGGCCCAGTGGCCTGGCCATAGGATGGAAGAGGACCCACACCCAGCCCCACATCCCCACGTCCTCACAGGGCAGGCACAAGAGCTCTGCAGCCCCAGCTCCCTGCTCAGAGCAGACACAGAGCAGAGGCATAACCCTGCTCCTGTGAAGGGCAGGTCAACACCTCCTGGCACCTGTGACAAGCCACCACCAAACTGCCAGTGTTGCCCCCAGGGGCTGCTGCCTGGCCACACGATGAGGCCATGCCTCCACAGAGCTGACACCTCACAGATCAGTTCTTTGCAGATTAATAATTTGGAGCATATTCAGTTTAAACACATCTCTACCACCCGTGGGAAGATGTGGTATCCGCCAGCCAAATTTCTGATACATTACTTATAAAATGCCTGATCTAAATGTCACCTTCCACAGACACGTCTGGGACATTGCCCAGGTCTGTGCAGAGGCAAGAAAAGCACAGCCCGAGCAGCACGAAGTGCTGGCTTCCATCTCCTGGAATAACAGCTGGGGAGCAGCCCCAGGGGCAGTGAGCCACTGCCCAGTGCCAAGGCAGCAGACTCGAGTGGTCCCAGTCTTCTTACTGAGCAGGGTTAGAGCAGCAGCAGCCACCTTGCGAGGCTCACCCTCCAGTAAAGGGTATCTCAAGTCTTTCTACACCACGGATCCACTCCACCCCGTGTGCCACAGCAGCACAGCCGAAGGAGCCACGCTGGAGCCAGGGACTCTGAGCACCCTGAGCTTACCAGGGAGCAGCCTGGGGTTGTTTGTGCAGAGCATTTGGCGACAGGCTCTCCAGTCTCAAACGTGAAACATGTTGAACTGACACTAAAGCGGAATTAAGTGCCAAAGCATTTGCTGCTTCTACAATTACACTCCGGAGCGCTTTGGTGCTCCTGCTCTCCTTTTTATGACCCAACTTGGTCTTATTGTAGTTTGGCTTTCTCGTTTTAAGTTCTCCAAATGGAAAGGATCAAAGAGCTCTTTGTTGTCGTAGCAGGAGCGCTCCTCGGAGCGAGGCATTCCTGCCACGAACAGCTTGCTGCTCAGGGGGAATTCGCGGCAGCCTCTGTGCCACCAGCCGGAGCCAAAGCATTAGCAGGTGCAGCAGCCGCCTCCGCCTTCCCCCATTAGCCTGCCACACTAAGCCACCTGAGCAGCTTTTTATGGGAAAGGGAGGCCAGGGCAGGTTTTCTCATTTATGCTTCACAAATCTGGCTCAGTGGGCACCGGCAAATCCAAACTTCACTCGGCTTTTACTCGGCAACAATGAGC